CAGTTTGATTTCTGCCAGGAGAACTTCTTTTTTTATTTTATGTATTTATTTTTGGAGAGGGGAAGAGAGGGAGATAGAACCGGATAGAAACATCCCTGGGTGGCTTCCTCTCAAGCGCCCCCTACTGGGCACCTGGGCCGCAACCCAGGCACGTGCCCTGACTGGCAATCGACCCAGCGACACTGTGGTTCGCTGGCCAGTGCTCAGTCCACTGAGCCTCACCCCCGGGGCGAGCACTTCTTTGAACTTTTCTTACAGGAGAGCTGTGCTCCTGGCACACACGTTCCCTGACCCCGTCCATCTGAGAAAGCCCGTGTGTCCTCCACTCTTGAGGAACTGTCCCACTAGACCGAGAACCGCCCACAGGCGGGTGTCTCCTGTGTCCATGTCTGGTGGGCGCCTGGCCTGACTCCTCACCGCGTCGCTTCAGACACGGCACTCAGTGCGATTCTTGTCTTTGATTTTACCACAGACACGGTGTGTTGCGTGTTGAATCTTTTTTTCGATATTGTTGCACTTTGAGTATGATATGCCTTGGTGTGGGGTTTTTTTCATGGTGAAATATCCCGTTGGTAAGGTTTTTTTTTTTTTTTTTCCTAAAAGTCTACACTGTTCTGTAGTAAATTAAATGCAAAGCAACCTCTTGGTTAATATTTCATGCTGTACATTTTTTGTTTTATAAAATTCAAACTTTTCCACCCTTTTCTCAAAATTTGTCTTACAAGAAGCATAAAGTTTTATTTAAAATTTTAAATCAGCTTTAGCAATCATTGAATTTAATCTGAATAAGTTAAAAATCTCACCGTTTGGCCCTGGCTGATGTGGCTCAGTGGATTGAGTCCCTATGGCCCCCCCACCCTCCCCTTCTGTCCACCAAGGGTGAGAGAATAAGTCCGCCAGGACGTGGTCTGCTTGGGGAGGGAAGGTGGCCGATCTCTTGGAGGAGAAGGGCCGGGAGCCTTTTCTCTGTGGACTTTTACTGGTTCAGTTTGCACAGGAGCAAAAGTAAAGCTCATCGGTCCTTGTCAGGCTGTAACGATCAAACATTTGAAGAACTCTGAGGGCTTATTCTGAGTCAGGGTCAGAAAGCTAAAGGGCCATAAAACTTTGGAGAAACAAACCAGCAGCTGCTGAGTCCAGAGAAAACAGGGGCATCTCAGCACAGAGCTCCCCCACTGGCAGGGATCCTGCATGGGGACAGTCCAGAGCCTGGGGTGGGGTGAGTGCAGACTGGAAAGGGTCCCCGGGGCCCACCACAGCTCTCAGTGAGGAGGGGGGTGGCTGAGACGGGCCCAGACTTGAGGGCCTGGAGGGGGAGTGCTTCTCTTCCATGCTCATCTCCCGTATTGCTCCACGGGGACTCCCTCCCAGGACCCAGCCAGGTGACCAGCCTGTAACACACCAGGAAATGAAGCATAAACCAGAGCTGCACCAGAGTGCAAGGGGCCCAAGCACTGTCCAGCACCTAAAAGCACCCCGCTCAGGGCTCTGCTTCAGGAAGCTTCCGCCTTCTTCCCTTGGGACCACACCAGCTCCCCAAAGCCAGAGATGATCAAGGAGAACAAAGTCACCATCATGGGGACTCCACAGGGCCCAGGACCCGCGATGTCCACCGTGGTCAACATCCAGCCTGAGACCGCTGTGCCCGACCACATCGTCTGGTCCCTGTTCAACACGCTCTTCTTCAACGTCTGCTGCCTGGGCTTCGTGGTGTTCGCCTACTCTGCCCACAGGGCCCGTGACACTGGAGATTCCCAGTAAAAACAGTTTTCTGGGTGTGTGTGGGCGTGTGTTGGGCGGGGGCTCCTTCCCCAAGAGAGTCCAAGGGGGCTGCATAGACACACCTGCTGTTGGGAGGGTCGGCACCGTGTCCAGGAGCCTTCCTTTCCATCCCAGTTGGGGAAACCTTGTCCCTCACACATCAGACCCAGACCTCATGGCTGGTCCAGAAATAAGAAAAGATCCTCAGAGACTCTGACCCCTGGTGGGGTGAGGCCAGCAGAGGGGCCAGAGCAGGGGGAGGAGGGGCCAGGACCCCTGGAGAGGCTGAGAGGCTCTGAGGGAGGGACCCCCGTGACCATGACCTACTCAGACTCCAAGGAACAGGCAGAGGAGGGTCCTGATCAGGGCTCTGGGCAGGGACCAGCAGGGGAGGACCTGAGTCACAGTAGCTCGCTCTGCCCAGGCCCCACTCCAGGCCCCCCTCACCATCTCTTCTTCTCCCCCAGTCTAGGGACCGGAAGATGGTGGGTGACGTGATTGGGGCCTAGAGCTACGCGTCCACTGCCAAGTGCCTGAACATCATGACACTGGTCCTGGGCCTCCTTGGGACCATAGGGTTCATTGTTTTTCTGGCCTTGGTGGTCTTCCCGACAGTCAGCTATGCAATAACACAGGCCATGAAGAACCGCGGAGGCTACTAGGCGCTGCCCTCAGCAGGGGGACCACGTCTCCTCACCCCCTCCCGGCTCTGCCCCACCCCCCCACTCCGTCACACAGCACTGTGTTCGGACATTGCTGAACCCACTGAACCCAATAAAGTGCACCTGGAAGTGACAATGCGGATGTTTCCTGGACCCGGGTCCCTGCTGAGTGCCCAGCCTGCCCCTGAGGCTGAGCCCACAGCCCCCCTGGCCCATCGGCTTGCTGCTCTGAGGGGGTCCAGCTCCTTCTCAGATGTTCCTGGTTTCTGGGCCCCCACTGGGAGCAGCAGCTGGGCCAGGGTCCCAGGAGGGGCTTGGTCCTTCCCAGTATCTGAGCCCTGATCCAAGGGGGGCCGGGTCCAGGGCCCCCTGGGCCCCCAGGACAAGCCTCCCTGAGCCAGGGCTGGCTGGGAGCAGGGGTGAGTGCTGCAGACTGGTGCCCTGGGAGGCCATGGTGTTCTCGGGTCTGGTGCAGGGTGGAGCCCAGCCCCACAGCCCCTCCTGGGTGGTCCCGCCATGGCTGTGCTTCCCCCAGCCCACCAGCTGTGTCCTTGCTCCTCCTCAGGGGACAGGAGCAGGGCTGTGCTGGGACCAGGGAGGGACAGAGCAGTCAGCCCTGAGGGACAGAAACCCTGAGAGGAAGGCCCAAATCCTCCCTCCAGACAGGCTGGGCCTGCTGGCTGGAGCCTCTGCCAGTGCCCAGGAAGGGTCCCCCTGCCTTTGGGGACCCCCAGGCTTGGGGTGGGAGCCTTTGCCAGGGCTGCTGATTCACTTGGGGCCTGGGACTGTCCTCAGCTTGACCCGTTCCCTCCCTCCAGGCCTGTGGGGGCGACTTCTTTCTCGAGGTCCCCCTGCTGCCACAGACATGCGTGAATGAATAAATATGGCCGAGACATGCTGGATCTGTTTGGGGATGGAGTTTCTCTGGGGAGAAAGAGGCCTCGAGCGCCCTCCTCCACGGCCTTTTATTGGGTTGTACTACACAGGAGTACAGGGCGGCAAGGATCAAACAGTACATAACATTACAAGGAGATTTGAGGGCTTCAGTCTGAGTGAGTGTCTGTTAGGAAGAGAGTTGCAGAAACTTTGGAAGACATACTCATTTCCTCTCGGACCCTTATATGAATGAAAGCACTCTTAGCAGAGCAGATTTCACAGGTTTATCAGCAAGTGTTTGTGATGCCGGATTTTTCCCAAGGACACGCTCTAGCAAGGCAAGGAGCTGCACCTCTCCCCATCAGGTATTCATGCTTAAGGGGAATAGAGCCAAACGCTTCTCCCAGAGAACATGGGGACTCGGGCTTTGACAAACCTGGGGGGCGAGAGTCCATTGCTCTCTGTTGCAGCCGCCCCCCCAGTCCTTCCCTGAAGGCCTCCCAGGTGATCCAGTCTGGCTTAGGTTACCCCCCGCTGTGAGGGGTCCTACCTGTCATTGACGTCCTACCAAGCTCTGGGGGCATGGAGAGTAAACTGAGGCAGCATTTGCTACCAGAGACAAGCTTTGTCTCCTGTGGCTGGCATTCCAGAGGTTGTCTCTCGCCCTTAGCTACAAGGGGTAGAGATACAATTCCTAAAACTAGGCAGAGCGGTCCACAACACAGGCCCTGCCTGCAGTCAGCACAGAGAGGCTGGGGAAGTCTGGGGGGCCACAGGCTGGTGTCTGGGGGGTGAACCCGTCTGCACATGAGCCTTGCTGTTTGGGGACCTGGGCCAATCTGGGCTCCAGGTGTGGGGTGAGGTCAGTCCTGCTAGCTCTGGTCCGCGGGCAGCATCTCTTCCCGCTGTGGTCCTGTTGGGTCCTGGGGCACATGCTGTTGGAAGATCCTAACCCCGGCTCCCTTCCCCCTGCGCCCTGGTACAGCCCCTGTGGCGCCCCGACTTCTGGGCCCAAAGAGGGCAGTGCTGAGTCTGTGCTGGGTGACGCCCAGTGCAAAGGCGCCCCTGTACCCGGGGGACCCATGTCTGAGCATGAGGGGCCAGGCCCTGGGAAGAGGCCTTGCAGGAGGCGACGCTGGTGGGGAGTTTGTTCCCCCTCAGGCGGGACCCTGGTGTCTGGACGGTGTGGTTCAAGCAGAGTCTGCCCACTGGGCACTGGGGATGGAGGGGCAGTGGTTTCCGCAGCTCTGGCCTGAGGCTGCCCTGAAGCTGAGGTGCCCTTGTCCCCACGAGGGCCCCAAGGCAGCCGTTCTGACCCCTCTGCTGCGGGGAAAGGGGTTGTGGTGGGCGGGCCACGTCCTGTGCCCATCCCCGCAGCAGCCTTCACGGGAGGTCAGGGGGCAGGGTGCACGGAGGGGGGGGTGTCTCTGGAAGGCACTGTGCGGCCTCCGCAGGGTCATCCACGGTAGGGGGACTCTGAGCCGGGACCGGGGTGTGGGGTCCTGCAGCCCCTCCCAGGCCCCCGACTGTTCTGGGCGCAGGCGGCAGGGGCCCCTGGGCGGGCGGGGCATGGTGCTGGTGGCTGGTACTCCAAGCTGTCATTTGTTGTTATATTTAGCAGCGGCCCCGGGCTGGCGGGAGGCAGCGGGTATAAGCAGCCCTGGGCGCCCCTCATACCGGCAGTGGAGCGGGCGGCGGCGACGGCGCTGGAACCCATGGACACCGCGTACCCCCGAGAGGACTCCGGGGCCCCGACGCCCCGCACGGCTGCCTGCGCTGCCCACACGGCCGTGGCCCTGGGGCCGCCGCACGCACCACCACCACCACGAGACCACTTGATCTGGTCGGTGTTCAGCACCCTCTACCTGAACCTGTGCTGCCTGGGCTTCCTGGCGCTGGCCCACTCCATCAAGGTGGGTGTGGACTGCGGCGCCAAAGGGTGGGGGGTGTGGCTGCCAGGCAACCAGAAGGGGCTCCTGAGTGCCTGAGCTGCCCACTGAGGCCGGGGTGCTTCTCATAAGTGACTCCCCACCTACTGAGGGCCCCTGGAGGCTTGCGCTGGCCTTGGAGAAAGCAGGGGGCCCTCCCAGCCTCACCTCAGGCAGAGCCCCCTTTAGGGCCACACCCCTGTGTCCAGCTGGCGGCAGTGAAGGGAGGGGGTGAGCCCCGGGCAATGTCCTCTCGGGCCACACACCAGCATTCAGATCTGGGGTTCAGCATGGCCCTCTGAGGTTGGACCTAGTGCTGCCTGGAGTGGAGGGGCCCCCACGCCCGGGGCCCAGCACAAGCTGCCACCTGACCCTGCTGCCCCCTGCAGGCCAGGGACCAGAAGGTGGCTGGGGACCTGGAGGAGGCCCGGCGCCTGGGCTCCAGGGCCAAGTGCTACAACATCCTGGCCGCCATGTGGGCCCTGGTGCCTCCCCTACTGCTGCTGGCGCTGGTGGTGACCGGCGCCCTGCACCTGTCCCGGCTGGCCCGGGACTCGGCTGCCTTCTTCAGCACCAAGTTCGAGGACTCGGACTATGACTGAGTGGCTGGGCTGCCCCCTGACCTCCTGGCCTGATGCACACCCCTGGCTGCACACCTCATGCTGACCACGAAGGTCCCCCCCATGGGGCCCTGGGGCCCTTGCCCTAACCTCAATGGTCCCTGGTCCCCACCTACTCCCATCCCAGCCGGAAGCTGTCCCCCACCTCACCAGGCCCCGCCTGGTTCCATTATTAAAGACGCTTTTGGTTCTATGAGGTGCCAGCCGGGCCTGGTTCCTGGCTGGGGTATGGGCAGGTGTCCTCCTGAGGGGACAGGCCCCTAGGGTCACCCCAAGCCAGCTGCCCTGGACAGACCCCAGCAGGATGGCGGTTCTGAATGTTCTGCTTTTGGCTGTGGTCTCTGACTGTCCCCTGGGCACTGGGTGGCCTGTGGCTTCTGGGTGGAGGCGCCCGAGTATTTTGGAGTCAAACTTGGGAACCCAAGCCTTTCATCTGCCTGCCCTGCTGGGCACCGTGGTTTAGTGGCCTGTCTTCCAGAACATGTGTGGTGTGCCTGATTCCACGCGTGCCCACCCTGAGAGTGTCTGTGTGCAAGGCCAACACACACTCTCCTGTGTGTTCCTGTCTGGGGGGTGGGTGTATGCTGATCTCCTTTGGGTCATGTTGTCAGTGGGGCTGGACACAAAGACACACGCACACCCAGGCACGCTCATGCCATCACCTATGCACACACACCACACACTCATGCAGATGGGACCACACCCCCACCACAGGCTGTGCAGAGCGGACACTGGGGAGTGAGGACATTTTCTGAGCATCCTTAGTGCCACATGCGTGTCCCTGCGTTCCCCCACCTCCTGCACTCCCCGGACCAGCCGTCTGGCTGTGGGGTGGGTACAAAACACATGCACACACCCTGTGGGCTGGGGGAGGTCCCCTGGGCCTTGCTGTGGATGGGCCAATGACAGGGCAGGCTAATTGCAGGGGTCATAAGCACAGGGTGTCTCAATGTTGGGAGCACCCCACCCCGGGTCCCCTCTGTCCCCAGGGAGCCCCCTTTGCCTGTCCACTCTGCCTGGGTTGGGAGTGGAGGTCTGTGTGCTGTACTTGGAGTCCCCAAAGCCTCCCCCACCCTCTGTGACCCCCAACAGCTGGCCCAGCTGCCTCCAGTGTGGCGGCAAGACGGTGCCCTGGCCCCAGCCCAGGAGTGTGGTGTATGCAGCCCTGAGCCAGCACAGGGCTGCCCTGCCGGGTGCAGGCCCCACACTGGACCAAAGACAAGGGCCGTGGGCCAGCGTGCGGCCCAGGATGGAGATGCCTGCTGACCCTGAGCTCCGGGTTTGGCTCAAGAAGGGACCAACCTGCTGGACGGAGAGGCTGGGAGCAGGGGTCAGCCTGTGTGTGGCCAGGTTCGGGTCCCCAGCACGGGATGGGCTGGGGGTCGTGGGGGAATCGAAGATCCTCCGGCCTGTGACCAGGTGCTGCGGCAGTGTGTGGTCAAGGCAGGTAGGGGGAAGGTCCTGAGCACCAGGTTGTGTCCCGGGCAGGCCAAGGGACCCTGGTCCAGTCTGGGCCTCTGGCTACTGAGAGCCCCCAGGCCGGCACATGTGCACTGCCACCCGCTGTCCCTCTGAGGGTGGCCCTGCCGTCGACACAGGTGCTGTGCCCGGGCAGCAGGACCACGCTGGGTCAGAGCAGTCCCCACCCTGCCCGGCTCCGGGGCTGCTGCCCGGGCAGCCTCAGCCGCTTCAGCAGACCGGTGGCCTCGCCGGGGAGGGAGAGCCCGTGGGCACCCGGAAGCCCCACCAAGGGCCTCAGGAGCCAGTGCTGGCGTGTGCGCTGGACTGCTACTCGGCCACCTCCTCAGAGGCCACTCCGTGCCGTGTGCTGCCCCCCACCCCGCCGGGCAGCCACGGACAGTCAGGCCTGGGACCCCCCATGCCTCCACCCACCCCCTGTCTGCCACCGTTCGCCTGCCCAGTGTCTGCTTCTTGGAGAACTGGGACCCCCGACTGCTAGAATGCACGCAGCCACAGGGAGGAGGGTGGGAGGGGCAGGTGTCGGGACCCAGCTACCAGCACCGAGTGAGCGAGTTTCCCACCACGCACCCTCCTCACGGCAGACAGAGCCAGTTCCAGCCCTGACTTTAATTGGGCAGCACTTGTGCAAGCCTTCCCAAGAAGGGTAGGCCCAGGGCCACGGCTCTGACCCCACGTGCACTGGGCTCAGCCCTCTGGCCGGTGGAAGAGAAGATACGGGGTCTTGTTCCGCACCCCACTCGGCTGAGGAAGGGCATGTGACGGGGGCTGTCCCACCTGACTGAGGCGGCCCAGAGTCAAGGGCTGAAGACGCTGAGCCCCCACGACAGCCAAGGGCACCCAGGCATGACAGCCCTCAGTGCGTCCGAGACACAGAAATTTCTCTGGCGAAGCTGCGGGCTTGCCCCTGCCCCTGCCTCTGCCGCAGGTGCCCATGCCCCCCCTCCTGGGGGTCACGCAGGTGCAGGTGTCAGCCCCAAGGGGCAGGCGTAGACCTGCTGGTGTAGGAGGCCACGGGGAAGCCCCGGTCCATGGGGCTTTCAGTGGAGAGTCTCGCACTTCGGGCCACAGAACCCAGACCTTGCCTGGAGCCCAGGAACCTGGCTGCCAGGTGCAGGGAGGGTGGGTGGGTGTCGGACAGTGGGCTGGGACCGCGTCCATGAAGCATGGGTGCAGCCCACCGGGAACCCCGCACAGGGGAGTGCCAGAGGGGGGCACCCCAGGTTGTCCCTAAAACCCACAGCACTGCCAGCTCAGGGGCAGGAGCTCAGGGCCCCGTGAGGGACTCTGTGGGTCCAGAGGGCCCAGGGGTCCCAGAGGGGCGGCTCCAATGTCTGCAACAATCTCTCCCAGGGTTTTCTAGGAGCAGCGCTTGCTGCTGCTGCGTCCTACGAGACCGAGCTTTGTATCCGGCCGGCAGAGCAGGGGAAGGAGACCTTGTGTCCTGCAGGAGAGGGGCCACCGGGGGGTGAGGACACACACCTGGGGTCACGGGCCCTGGTGTGGGGCAGAGGCAGCAGCCTACCTGGGGGCAGAGGCAGCCGGTCCCCTGACGGCCACAGCTCCACCTCAAGCAGAGGCGCTGGGGGCCCTGCCCGGGTCCTGACCTCGACCGTCACCGAGCCCTCGGAGAAGGAGAAGTTGAGCTTGTTCCCCAGGTAAGAGATGCCAGAGATGCGCACAGCAGAGACCGCCGCTGGACACGTGGGGTCAAAGGTCACACCAGCCCTGGTGATCCTGGGGAGAGGAGGCGGCTGTGTGTGTTGGGCAGGCAGGGCCGGTGACCAGCTCCTGCCGGTCGGCCCGCTCACCTGAACCCTGTGAACCCGAAGAGTGCCGCCTGCAGGAAGCCCCCCATGCCCGTCAGGAAGTTCACGGCCCCGGACCCATCTGCATTCTCCGTCCACACCTGCAGGGTCAAGGTCGTCAGGGCCAGGGTCCCCAGGACACAGGTCTCCTGAGGCCACTGTCCCTATCCCTGGAAGGTCAGGTGGGAATTGCCAGGGCAGTGACCCCTGAAGCTGGGCTCCCACCCCCACCGCCCAGGGCGTCTGAGGAAGGGGCAGGTGCGGTCGGGGCCAGGCTGGCCTTGAAGGGCTCCGTGATGTTGGCGAAGCTCCTTTGCAGAAGGTCCCATGCCCTCTGGGGCTCCTTCAGCTCCATCCAGCCCACAGCAAACATGCTCTGGGGTCAGAGGTCAGAGGGCATGCTGAGGTGAGGTCCACTGCATGGGGCGGGAAGGCTGAGGTGGGCAGGGTGGGGTGGGGCCAGACCACCGTGAGGACCGCCACCCATCTTACCCAGGTCATGGCAGGGCCCCGGGGAGACGTCACGGCCTCGTAAACCTCCAGGTTGTTCCTGCGAACTTGAGGACTCATAGGGAAGGGGATGGGGTACCCCAGGAGCACGACATCTGCCTGCTTCACCTCCTCTCCTGGGGGGGCATGGGTGCTGTTGATGGGGGGCAGCCAGGGACTCGGGGTCGGGAAAGGGGTGGTCAAGAGCGGGAAGGGGCCTCAAAGGTACTCTGAATCCACTCACCAAGTTCATACCCATCAAACTCAGGATGGAAGTTCCGAGTCAAGTCAAAGGGCACCTTGATCTTATCAGCCACCTCTAGCCACCGGCTGGGGATGGGCTGACCCAGGTCCTGGGCCAGGGCAGCAGCAAAGCGCAGGCTAGGACAGAGATGGGGAGAGAGGGCTGCAGCCCGAGCTCACCTGGTGGCCCCTGCGTGCTGGGTGGGGCAGGGGCTGGGGTCTGACCTGTTCTGGGCCAGGACGTTGGTGTACACGGAGTTGGTGACCCCTGAGTGGTACTCGTCGGGGGGCATGACTCCTGGACGCCGAGGGCAGGACAGTGCTCAGTGCGGGCTGGCCACCGCAGGCACCGTAAGTCACACGCAGAACTGAACGGAGGGCCCCCCCCCCGCCACACCCCCGTGACTACCCGCCCCCCCCCACGCCCGCACCCTTCAGGTGGTACTTCTCCTCTGCGGGGCTCCACTCGACACGGCTGCACCAGAACTCTGCCACGGCACTGACCACGTCCCAGCCCCCAGCCTCCTGGAAGAGCTGCAGGTCCTGGGGGGGACAGGGCAGCACAGGGCCCTGAGACCCACGGTGCTGGTTCCCGGTGGTCACTGCATCTCCTGCCAGTGCCCATCCATTCAAGTGCCCTGATGTGAAGGCCTGGCTCCAGACGCCTGGATGGGCTTGCAGCCCAGTGGGGGGGTGGCCCCACAAGGAGGGCACAGCTGGGCCCACAGCAACGCCTCACCTGGGTGCTGTGCTGGTACAGCTGGAAGGCCAGCACCACGGCCCCGTTGATGTGGACTTCCTGGGTCCCGTAAATGTCCTCCGGGCAGACCTCCAGGCCAGAACCGGCGCTCTCCCAGGCGAACTTGGCTCCCTGACAGTTGAGGGTGACTGTTCTCAGGGGCCTGGCGGGGAGCAGCCCACACATTTCCCAATGGGCCCCCACAGTTTCCACGGTGTGCTGGCTGTCTCTGGCTGGTGCAGGGCAGTGAGGGGCCCCAGCTGGGGCCCACCCAGACTTGTCCCGCCTGCAGGATGCAGGCTGTGAGGATGCACGAAGCCCCACCCTGCCCGGAAAGAGGCCCTGTGGTGCGCCGGGGCGGTGAGCAGGCCCCCTCACCTGGTAGCCCAGGTTTCGGGCATTGTCCAGGGCTCCACCCAGTGTCTGGATGCGGTACTGCAGGAGAGCCCTGGCGGCCTCTGGCTGGAACATGAGGACATTTGGGAACATCCAGAGATCCTGAGAGCACAGCCAAAGGGTCCCTTGTCCTCCAGCTCTGCCGGCCTTCTCCCCACACTTGTTCTGCCCTGGTGGGCCTCAGAGACAGCCAGCTCCTTGCTGCCCACTGGGCCTGCCCAGGGCCTCACCACCACCACTGGCCCACCACACTCCCCCATCTCCAGCTCAGAGCCCCTGGTCCCCACCCCAGCGCTTCGCCTCCCCAGTGGGCATCTGGGACTGGCCTGATGCTCAGGCCAGAAGCTGGGTGTGGGCAGCCTGGAGGGGAAGCTGCTCCGTTGCTCACTGGCTGTGTGCCCTGCAGGGAACACCTCAGCCTCCCCCAGCCCTACAGTCAAGCGGGGGCCACAGCACCAGCTCTCTGGACCCTCCCACGCCCACTGGTCACCAAGTCCCAGCTTTTCCAGGCTCCTGCTCCTCGCCCCCCTCCATCCATGCTCCCTTAGCTGCTATGAGGGCTTTCCCAGAACACACACCTGTCCCTGCCACTCAGGATTCACGGCTCCTGTAGCCCCTCTCCCTTACCTGGCCAGATGCCGTGCACCCTCCTGGCTCTGGGACTTTGCCCTCTGATCCCCTTGCCTGAGTCGCTTTTCCATCAAACGCCCACACACCCTTTGGCGGAGACACCGCCTCCTCCAGGAAGCCTTCCCTTTTGCCTTGGCCCCCAGGCTTCCTCAACCACAGCCCTTGTCCTGGGCAAGCAGAGGCAGCAGCACACCTGTGCCCTTAGCCACAGGACCCTCCGTGCCCGTGTGCCGCCCACCCTGTGGCAGGTGCGTGTTGAGGTAGATGGTGCACACCTGGTCCCAGAACACATGGCCCCAGTAGCATTCCTCACAGCTCCCATTGGAGAGCCCCCCGGGGCTGAGTCCGTGGCAGACATGTCCTGGGGCCCCGGGCTCAGGCAGGGCACTGAGCAGGTAGTAGAGGGCACCTCGCAGGGCCTGGCGCAGGGGCAGGGGCCCCACCACATCCAGGCCGCAGCCGTCCCAGAGCTGGGCCCAGGCCTGGGCATGGGCAGTGTACAGGGCACCGCTGGCCTGCAGCTGCAGTGCCTCAGCGAGGCAGGCCTGCGCCTCGGCCTGGCTGCCGCCCACCACGGCCAGGAACTCCCAGGTCCTGTGCTGCTGGCCTTCCCTCAGGGTCAGGGTCGGGGGCGCTGGTGTCCACAGCATGTGCACCTCCTGCTGGGGCGCCCCGGGCTGCTCAGGAGTGAGTGTGTGGCCATACAGGTACCTGCAGGGGCACGGCTGCGTCTCAGGGACAGGCTTCCTCCGGGGTCCCCCGGCTTGCCCCCCGGCCCCCTCCTCACCGGGCTCCCTGCCAGTCAGGCCCCAGACGCAGGGCCAAGTCCGGGCTTTCTGGGGAGAAGGCAGACCGCAGCGTCACGGTGATGGGCTGGCTCCTGGGGGCCAGGCAGGTGACAGACACAGCGCAGGCCAGCACGTGAGGCAGCGTGCGGTGGGCGTAGATGCGCTGGGAGGCCCGGAAGCGGGAGTCCTCCAGGGTGTGCAGAAAGGAGCCTGGGGAGGGGGGACAGGCAAGTGGCAGGCCTGCCCCACGGAGGGCCAGCGCTCACAGTTGCTAAGCTCCTGGCCTTCCTGCGCTGGGAGTGGCTTCCACCTCCCCCCCAGTGAGGGGGACCCACCTCTGCAGCCCGCCTGACCTGGGCAGGAAGCGGCAGCTGCACGGGGACTGCTCCCGCCCCACCCCCACCCTCCTTTCCCTGGGCCGGGTGGGGGAAGTTAGGCGATGCCAGGTGGGGTTCCTATGGCCTCTCCCCCCACCAACCTGGAACAGTGGCTGGGGATGGGGCAGGGGCCGGGCCAGGCGGCAGCTACCTGTGTTAGTGTCCAGGACAAAGGTTGTGGTCAGCTGCTCTCCTGGTCCCGCGGGGGCCTCCAGCTGGATATTGAGGGGACTGGGCAGAACGGCCCGGTGCGTGTCCCCCAGAGCCCCATTGTATATGCCACTCACGTGCAGTGTGTCGTGGTAGACCCGTGTGCCCAAGTACGCATTGGTCACACTGGCCCAGAGCCGGCGGTCACTGGGCAGAGAGTGGGCAGTGAATACGGTGGGGTCTTCACCTGCGTCCGCCATGGAAAGGCTTGCACAGTGGAGGGGCCTGGAAAGGGTGGGGTCAGGGAACCTCCAACGGGCTGGGTCTCCCTCTTCTGGCGCTGTTGACCCTAAAGACCCCTCCTTGGAACTTGGCTGCTCCCGAAACAGATGGTGGGAGTGTGGACCCATCCCACCAGCCCTGGTTCTCAGACCCCCCCCCCACTTTGGAGCCGCCCCAGGGAAAGCCCTGGACCCCTCTCACTGATCCCCAGGGACCCACCTGAGTCCCCAGACTCTGACTTACCAGCCCTTTCCAAGCCACACCCCCAGAACCCCGCCCGGCGGTGGAAGCGAGGAGGCTTCCGCCAGCGAAGTTTGCTCCTCAAGGCGGGAGGGCGGGGTGTAAAGAGTGCCGTCCCGGGTGCTGGAGCCCTAGCAGGGGGTCGCCGCTGTTTCTGGGCTCACCGAAGCCCTGCCGTGTCCCTCGGCTCTAGCCGGGCCAGCGTTGCCGCTCCAGGGCCCCAGGGGGAGGTCGCCAGTGGCTGCTTTTTCGGCCGGAAGGCCCCTCATTCCCCGCCCCCGGGGTAGCGCGCAGGACGGGCTGGACTGGCCCGCGGTCCCCGCCCTCGGGGCGGTGCTGGGCAGGGGACCGCTGAGCAGAGGCTGCGCTCAAGCCGGAGGCGGGACTGCGGGGCGGTGGGTTGGGCTCTACCCCCTCCCCAGCGGAGGCCGCGTGTCTGCGGACCCGGCGTGAAGGGTGCGGAGATGGGGCTCCAGGGAGCCAGCGAGAGAAACACAGTATCGACTCCGACCTCAAAAACTTCTCCCGGGTGGACCTGAGAGGCGCTGGGGCCTCTGGCGGTGGCGTTCTCCTCCCGTCTGCCCTCTAGGGGACGTCCGGGTGTCCTCCTGCACGGGCGTCCTTCTCTTTTTGCGGGGCGTCTCCTCCTGGCTCCGTGCGGCCTCTTCTCTCAGCCGCCATCTCCCCACCTGCCCCCTAGACTCCCAGGCTCCTCACACCCAAATGTCTGAGTCAAGTGACGCAGGTGCTCTGTGCCCTCGGCCCTGCCTGCCGGAGACACCCAGATCGAACACTTCCCTGAAACCGTTCTTCCTGCCACCTCCCCCAGCACAGGCCAAGGCCACACCGCTGTCCCTGCGCGCACGTCCACCCACGAAGCTCGCCTTCCAGACCTGCCTGCCCTCCCCGGCCCCGGCCCCGTGGCCTCCTGGGCTGGTGCACTCCACGGTTTCTGCTCCTGCCCTGCCCTTGCTTCCCAACAGGGCTGAGGTCAGACCACGCCTTCTGCTCAGAAGCCTGCTGCGGTGCCCACCTTGCCAGGGGGACCAGTCACCAGGGTCTCCCCCCCACTGCACACCATCAGCTGGCTCCCTCCGCCTCTGCGGCATTCAGACATTCTGAGTGTGCTCCCGGCTGCGGACTGAGTGGTTGTGTTCCCCCCCCCCCCCACACACACACACAAATCTGTCCGTCTGCTGACATCTGATCCCCAGTGAGATGGCATTTGGAGGTAGGGGCTTTCGGAGGCCATCGGGTCAAGAACCACCAAGAATGGGACAAGTGCCCTTATAAGAGACTTGAGAACAAGCAAGACCTCTACGACCTGAAGACAATGAGAGGACAGCCACCTGCGACCAGAATCAGGGTCCTCACCAGACACCGAGTTGACTGGCACCTTGACCTTGGACTTCGCAGCCTCCAGGACTTTGGGGAATAAATCCCTGTGGCCCATGACCCATCGGTGTCTGTGTTTTGCCACAGCAGCCCCAGCTCACCAAGACACCCCCTTCAGGGCCTGGGTGCCAGCCTACTTGTCCACGGCCTGGAACACTTTCTCAGGGTGTCCTTGGGGCCCCTGTCCCCACTTAGGCCTCCCCAGGCCCTCCCAGTAACAGGAAGGCCTTCCCTCCGGTCCCCTTCCGCTGCATCCCTCCCCTGCACAGCCCCGCCCCGCCCCGGCTGCTCCAGTCGCCAGCTCCGGCAGGGATTTTGTCTGGTGTGGGGAGCCAGTGACTGGGTTTGAAAGGGACTGCAAGTCCCCTGGGAAGTGGAGGGGCTGCCTCCCGGGCCCCTTCCACTTGGACGGGGGGCTCAGGGGCTGGCCAAGCCCAGCAGTGTGGAGCAGAGGATGCCTGAGGACCTGAGAGCTGTCCACCGCTGGGCTGTCCATTGAGCCTCAGAGCTTCCCGCTGCCAGGCCGCTCCCCCGAGTCTCGGTTTTCTCACCCCTGAAATGGGGCCCCACACAGACGGATCCGACACCAAAGGAGAGACGGCCAAGAGCAATGGGAACCAACACACAAGTGCAAAGAAGGCCGCCCTGGCTGGCGAGGCGCCGTGGATTGAGCCGAACCAAAGAGTAGTGGGTTCAATTCCCAGTCGGGGCACATGCCTGGGTTGCGGCCCAGGTCCCTGGTATGGGGCACAAGAGAGGCAAACTCACGTTGATGTTTCTCTCCCTCTCTTTCTCCCACCCTCTCTCTAATCCTTAAAAAATGTAAAGGAGACTTTATTTTCAATGGACACCCCCATGTCCTCCCAGAGTCCGGCCGCTGCCTGCTGCACTCTGCCCAGGCTCCGGTGCCTGAAGACCTTCAGCGGCCCGTGGACCCCTCTGGGCTCGGCCTTCCTGCCTCCGGGACGGCTTCACTCCTGGTGCCAAGACCCAGACTCCCAAGGAGGCACGGTGACCCGCCGACTTCTGCTCAACCCCTGCTGGATCCTCAGTGGCTGGGACAGAACTGTGGGTCCACAGGGCTGGTACTGCAGTCAGTGACGGGGCCGTGAAGGTGTGGCTCTGAGCCCGGCACCCCGGGGAAAGGCCAACACGCGGCAGGGGCTCAGTCCCCGGGCATCTCGGCACCGTTATTGTTGCCGGGGACATCGGCAAGGGGGTGGCTGGAGGGCCCCATGAGAGAGAAGTGGGTGGGGACAACATGGAGGTTAGGGGAGGAGTGGTCTCTGGCTGTCCCCAGGGCGTGCCCTGTGCCCCTTCCAGGACCATGAGAGGGACTGTGTCCATCTGGGCCTCTCCCTTCATCGGACTGGTGGCAGCCCTCCTGGTCGCGCTGGCCTTCGGGGCCTCAGAAGGCTGTGTTGAATCCCTTGAGGGGCTCAGGGTGGCTGTCCAGTGCTGGGTGTGTGATGACCAGGCCTGGCTTTGCCGTCCGCACAGCCCGCAGCTCCCCCAGCGACTGCTCGCTCAGCTCCACGGAGGTCAGACTGCAGCCGTGCACACGGGACAAGGGCACGTTGGTTGGGAGGGAAGAAGAATCCAGGGTGGGGGTAGGTGGTGGCAGGGGCACAAAGGGGGCAGAAAAGGTACACGGTGACAAAAGACGAACAGCCAGGGGCGATCAGAGGTGGGGAGAGGGGGCAGGAGCTGGGGGCCAGGTCTTTGGGGAGTAAGAGGGCGCTGGCTCATTGACCCAGACTGTGGCCACGGGCTCCAGACCACAGATGGACCTCTGATCTGGCAGAGTGTGTAGGTAAGGGCTGGGCCAGGGCTTTGGAGGCTGTGTCTCCCGGGACTGCGGTCACTCAACGGGACCCTGGGAGGGGCTCTTCTCCAAGGTCACAGGGAAGCCCTCAGGTGCCCGCCCCAACCTGGGCTTGAGAGGTGTGTCCCTACGCCCTTCCTGCACCTGAGGGTCTGCAGGCGGCATCCTGGTTGCTGCAGGACCGCACACAGGTAGGTCACCATGGGCTCTGACAGCTGGCAGCCGCTGAGATCCAGGGTGGTCAGTGTGGAGCTGGGCTGGAGCAGGGCAATCAGGTACTGGAGGGCTTCCTGGAGGCCGGGCTGCTGCAGCCTGGGGACAGTTCAGCTCAGGAGCCTCTGGGGGCTCCCCACCCTGGGGGGGTCCACACCCTCTCTAAGTCCCTCCCTAAGTCCCTCCCAAACCCGGCCTCACCTGAGTGTCTGCACGCGGCACCTAGGCCAGGCCAGGCCCTCGCTCAGCACCCGCAGGCCCTCCTCACCGAGCCCGTTGTGGAGGAGGCTGAGCTCGGTCAGGGCGGGGGCCTGCCTCAGGGCCTGGGACAGGTCGTGGCAGGCGGAGTCTGGGAGTTTGCAGCGGGACAGCCTGGGGGCCAGGAGCACAGAGTCGGTCTCAGGCCCCTCAGCTGCCACCCGGCACCCAGTGGTGCAAACTGCCCGCTCCCCACTCCCCGGGGCTGAGGCCAGTCTGGACATGTGCTGGCGGCCCTGCCCTTCGTCACCACGGGCGTCCCCGGGGGCGGGGCTGCACGCCAGTCTCCCCCAGGACACGGTGGCACACGAGCTTCAGGAGGGGCCCATGCAGGCTCTTCCCTGCTCGCGTCGCCTCCACGCCCTCGTCCCTCTGGTCCAGGTGACCGCAGTTTGGCTGCCTGGTGCCTCGTGGCCGGGCGGGGTGAGGCTACTGCTCTTTCTGAGTCAACGCTGTGGGGCTCACACTGCGTTCGAGCGAAGCTGCCGCGCTGCCGTGACAGACAGACGGCCCTCCTCCTCTGGCCCCCGGCGCGCCAGCTCCCAGGCCGCCCTGACTTTTGCCTGCCTGGTGCCCACCGACGGAACGCCAGGATGCACTGAGCGCTGTGCTGGGGACCGCGCTGACGCTCCCAGCAGCCCTCTGAGGCCGACCTCGGCTCCGTTTCCCAGGGGAGGGGCCTGGTGCTCCGACGGGACTGACTCGCCTTCGGGGGCAGGACACAGTCTGGCCTCCTCTGCTGTTCCCGAGAGTCCAGAGGGGCCGCTCGGTAGCTGCACATGGTGCGGAGCAGCCCCCCTTGGATGGGAGATGCGTTCTGCTCTCCTCCATGCCCCCCACCGAGTGCTCAGCTGCACCCCGAGTCTGGCTGGAACCTGGCCAGCCCCCTTCCTAACCAGCACCTAAGCCCGCGAGGGACCCCTGCCCCTCTGCCCCGTGTGGGCGGGGCCTGTCGACCCCCCTACAGGAAGCCAGAGGCTCCAGCCTCTCAGCCGTCTCATCAGCCCTCCCCAGACAGGGACACCCTCTGTCCTTCCCAGGGCACCCCGCTCTGCGTCCCTTCCGGGGAGGGCTGGCGGCATGGCCACTCACGTCAGGCTGGTCAGCCCGCACTGCTGGTCAGTCAGGGCCTCGCAGAGTGGATGCAGTGAGGAGGCCTGGGGCTTTCTGGTGGTGGCTTGAGAACTGCTGGGGGAGAGAGAGGTGAAGCCCCCCGGCTCCTTCCAGTCCCTCCCCGCTCCCTCCCGGTGTCTTCACCCGAAGCTCAGAGTGAACCCTCTTGTCCACAGCCCCACATGCCTCCCCCTGACGCCTGCTGTGCGGGGCTGCGGGGCCCTGTCGCTCACGTTCCCAGTGTGGGGCGAGGCAGGCCCCTGCAATGGCGCTCCCAGCCCCTGTCAGGGCCCCGCCGTTGGGGGGGGGGGGCGGCTAAGTGCGGGGGAACAAGGAGCCCAGCCTCGCCCTGGGGCAGCTGAGGGTCTGGGGAAGGAGACAGGCACAGGCCGCTCTCGTGACACAAAATGCACTTGGGGGTGGGCACGGAGAGGGCGCGGGGCGGGGGGAGAAGGTGGGAGCCGGGAAGGCCGCCTCACAGTGGTGTGGCCAAAACCAGCCCCGAAGACCTGCCTCTGGTGAGGGGATAGGACCTGCCTGTGCGCGGGCGGCGAGCCCCGCCCGCGGAGCAGGCCTGGGGGCGGAGACCCAGCCCCGAGACTCACGAGCTGCCACTCAGGCTGTTCTGCAGTCGCTTCACCAGGCTCTTCTTCTTCTTCTTCTTCTTCGGGGCAGGCAGCGTGCAGTTAACCAGCCGCAGCGCCTGTCCGGCCGGGCAGCACCGCAGGCAGTAGCTCAGGACGGCCAGGTCCATGCGGCTCAAGCGCAGGTGCTCCAGCGCAAGCTCAGGGTGGCCTCGCAGGGCCTGGCGCACGAAGGCGCCCTCCTGCGTCTCGTACAGGCAGTACAGGAGCACCATGGGGAAGTTGAACTCCTCCTCCTCCTCCTCCTCCTCCTCCTCCTCGGACTTGGATTCTGACCTCTCAGTGGCCTTGAGCGAGTTGGTGTCCTCGGCCCCCTCTGGCAGCACCCTAGGGCGACCCTGGCCCTGGTCCTGCACCCACTTCAGGACATCCTGCTTCATGCGCTCTGAAACCGCGCAGCCGAAGTGGCGCTCGACGTCGCGAAGCCTCTCCGCACTCAGCAGTCCGAAGAGGAAGCGCGTGGTGAGCGCGAGGTGGTGGCGCATCTCGGGGTCGCCCTGCAGAAGCTCTTCTACTCCGCCGGCCGGCGCCCCGGGCGGCCCCTCCTCCTCCAGCAAGTAGGAGAGGGCGGCAAAGAACTCCTGGAAGCTCTGGTCAATGAACTGGTAGGTGACCTCGGCCTGCAGCACGCCGGGCAGCTCTTTCTTGCTGAGAAACAGCGTCTGCACCTTGGAGCCGTGAAGCTGCAGTCTTTCCAGATCCTTCTCCGCAAAATGCGCCCGCCGCCCCAGAACTCCTTCCCGGGCCAGGCGGCACAGCCTGCGCAGCTCACCTTGCAGCTGGGGCCGGTCCTCGGCCGGCGCGGGGCTGAGGACGCTGACGATGAAAAGCAGGTACACGGACGTGGTCGTCTTGGAGGTGCGCGACAGGTCCTGGCCGAGCTCCAGCTGCTGGCGCAGAACCGTGCACACGATCCAGCACACGAAGGGCACGAAGCACAGCGCGAACAGTGTCTCGTTCTCCTTCACGAAGCCGTAGGCGCGCTCTGCCCTCCACTCGTCCTGGAAGTACTTGTAGAAGTACTTCTTCTTGTCCTTGTCGGAGAAGCCGCGTACCTCGGCGCACTGCGGCGAGCACAGGCGGCCCTGCAGCCTGCCCGGGTCAGCGGTGCGCGTGGTCACCAGCAGGCGGGCCTGGGGCAGGAGCGCCTTGCTCAGGAGACCGCCCAGTACCTGCGCGCCGCCTGCGGCCTCGAAGGGGTCGGTGCAGGGCGCGGCCTCCGCCAGCCCCGGCGCCGGCAGCTCATCCGCGCCGTCCAGGATGAAGAGCAGCCGCTCCGACCTCTGGAGCATCTGCCGCACCGGGGCGCTGCGGCCCGGGCACTGGGCAAGGATCAGGTCGGCCAGGCTGCACGTGCCGGGCCGCTCCAGCAGTTCCGCGCAGGGCAGGAAGAAGGCGAAGTCCACCTCGCCCCGGTACAGCTTGCCCGCCGCCCAGTCGTACAGGATTTTCTTGGCGGCCATGGTCTTGCCGATGCCCGCCGGCCCCTGCAGCACCACGGTCAGCGGCCGCTGGCCCTCCTCGTCGCGGCCGAACAGGCGGTTGAAGGTGTGGGTGTCCGAGCGCCGGGCGCGCTCCGGCTCCGGCTCCTCCGCAGGCCCTGCGGCCTCCCACTCCGGGGCGGCGCTCTCAGGCGCGATGAGCAGCTTGGTGAAGCGCTTGGAGATCTTCACGGAGCGGGCGTTCCTCTCCTTCACCTTGGCGTGTTGCCGCAGCACGTGCTCGCGGTATTTCTTCTTGTACTCTGCGGGGCGGGCCGTCGGGGCGGGCGGTGGGGCGGGCTGTGCCAGCCGACCGCCCGTGCCCGCTGCGCTCCCTCCCGCCTCCTGGCCCCACTTCCCAGGCTGCGCCACGGACCCCCAGCCCGCTGGCCCTCCCTACCCGCTGCTCTCTGGGAGCGGCTGTGGGGACCAGCCTGGCTCGAGGGCACTTGTGCCCCGCCCAGGACAGCCCAGGGCCTGCGCCTCCCACCCGGAGACCTACCGGACACGGAGAGCAGCGCCGCGGAGCTGGGGCCGAGCCCTGAAAGGAAGACCCACTGTGAGGCCAGGGCACTCGCGGGGCAGGGGTGCAGTGGGGGGTCGTGGCCACCCCCAGGGGCACCCGGGGATCCCAGCCTCGGGCCGGGGAACCTGTGGGCGAGTGGTGCGTGGGGCTTCCTTGGGGAAGCGGAAGGGAGGGCGGCTGCGTGCCGGACTCCGCCCAGACGGTAGGGAATGGAGGGGCAGGCACTCGGCGACCCCTGCCCCCGCTCACGCTGCAACCGCTGCTCCTTGAGCCAAGCCGCGATGTCGCGCGCGTCCGCCCTCTTCAAGGTCTTGCGGGCCACGTCCAGCGCGGGCTCCGGCCCGTAGAACTGGGTCAGCTGGTCGGCGAGGTCCACAGCGTCCGCCCGCTCCAACCGGCCCCACGGGATGCTGCGGCCGTCCACCAGCGCGTCCCGCAGCTTGTGCCGGAAGCGCTTCAGCTGCTCCTGGCTGAGGTCCTCCAGGGCATCGAGAAGCAGCTCGCGGGCGGCCGCCGCGCGGGGCTGCACGCTGCGGGCAAGAGGGTGGCCCGAAGGGCGGGGTCAGCAGTTGGGCCCCGTCCGGAAACCTCCGCCCGCCTCGCCGCAGCCCCGACCCGGACTCCCGGCGCCCATGATGGGCGGGGGCTCAGGCGCGCCGGCATCTCCCCAGGTGGCTCCAGGCCGACACTCTGCACGGAAGGGAGTCTGCCCCTCCCAGCACCCAAATTCGGGTTTTGCTTCCAGGCGTTCCCGGAGTTTGTCTGTGAAAGTGTCTGGTAGTGAAGTAGGTGCCCTCGGGGGTGGGTACTGGCCACTTGGGGTGCCTTTCTGCTTCCTGCCTCCCCTCCCTGCTCGGTGCCTCTCTCAGGCCTGGCCTGGCCAGGTCAGTCTCCCTAGCCAGGTGGTGAGGAAGGCTGAGCCCGCTGCTTCCCTGCATTCTCTGCCCCGGGAGCCGGGGGCCTTGCACTCAGGTCCGCCGGGTCTGCTCCCGAGCACCCAGTGGGGAACAGACCCTGGGAGGCACCCCTAAAGTCTGGAGCCCGGGGCCATGGGGGAGGCATGTGAATGGGGCTGTGAGGCCCAGGCAGCGAGCAAGCAAGCAGGGTGAGCCCCCAGCCCCAGAGACCGAGACCAGCCAGTTCCCGAGTCATCGCTCTGAGATGCAGCACTCACCTGGAGCAGGGGGCCTCCGGCTCATCCATAGCCACCGGCCCCTAGGTCTAGGACTCCAGGACAGAGGCGGGGATCAGGGAGGCGACCCCTCTGCACAGTGACGGGAGCCAAGCCCTAAGGGGGCTGTCCAGCCCCGTCCATGCCCCAGGCCCAGGTGCTTTATGAGGCCAGTGCTGAGATGCCTGTCCGACAGACACCCAGCTCGCAAGCTCAGTCTCAGCTCACCTGTGCACTGTCACCCTTTCAGAGCTCTGCCTGGTGACCTTTGAGTTCCCCCCAAGGACCCATGGGGTGTGGCAGCGAGGCCTGGCTGTGAGCAGGTACCTGTGTAGATCAGGGTGGACTGCACGGAGGAGGTGGCTGGCTCAGAGCTAGGTTGAATTCTGAAGGCAGGGCTGAGGAAGGGCTTCCTCAGGGGAGGGAGACAGAACAAAGGAGGAGCTGGCAGTGTTTTCAAGGAGAGGAAGGCTGTCACCTGGGGCCAGGAGACAATGGGACAAGGAGGACTGTGTGGCATCCAAAACCAGGCTGGAGCAGGCTGATGGGAAGTGGTTTGGGTGTGCGGAGGATGTGGGACCACACGGGGCCACGCGAGTGTGGGGCCCTCCTGACCGAGTCTGCCTGTGTGAGAGCGTTAACACTTCCGTGGACGTGTGGAGGGCCGGCTCAGTGTCTGGGGACTGGGGCGGGGGCTCACCCCGGCCCCTGGGAATGTTTCCTCCCCTGTCAAAGGGACTTTTCCAGTGTGATTAAATTCAAGATCTTGAGATGCGGAGATTTGCCTGGATCATCCAGGTGGGCCCTGCACGTCCTCAGGCCTCACCGAGGGAGACGAGGAGACTGGGAGCCTGCTGACTTTCCTTCCGGAAGAAGGGCCCCGGAAGACCCCAGAGGGAGGTCTGGGGGGCCCGCTCTCCCCAGAGCCCGGGGCCCAAGCCCGGGTCTCCGCCCAGTGAAACTGGTGTTGGACTCCGACCCCCTGGACTGGGACTCAGGAAACGTGTGCGGTCGGAAGCTGCTGTGTCTGCAGTAACTTGTTTCAGCAGCCACAGACGCGGAGCCAGTGTGTGTGAGAGCGTGCGTGTGTGCGTGTGAGTGTGTGTGCGAGAGCATCTCCCTGATCTCGCACCGTCAGCACGGGTGCCTGCCTGCAGGGCCGCTGCCTTCCTGGCCCCGTCACCTGCAGACCCCAGGTCACCCCTGAGTTCGGTCCTGCTTCTGCCAGGACTTGGGGGAGAACCGAGTCCTGGGTGTCTCTGTCCCGCTGCCCCTCCACAGGCAGGGGCCCGAGCAGGGGCCCTTTCTCCCCATGATTTTTTTCTCTTTAAGACAAATAGGCCCCAGCTCTCCCCAGGGGGCGCTCAGGTTGTCCAAGGTGCTGTGTGGTCGCCCTCACATCAATCCCCTGTAGACGCCTTGCTCTCTCCTGCGGGGGCCCCACCGCTGGCCTGGTTGCCCTGCGCACGGGCAGCTGCCCGGGCCCACGTGCTGGGCAGGGGACACTTTGTGCTTTTCCAGGACCAGTCTCACCTGTCCCCACAGAGATGTGCAGGGCGAGCCCCGCCCCCAGAGCGCAGTGTGGGCGTCACCTGTGAAGCAGAGCAGAGCACGGGGTCCCCGCAGCAGGGTCCTGCTGCAACTGTCGGGGGTGACCCTGCGGGGTCCCTGCCTCGGCCGCCCGACCCGCTGGCACTCGCAGTGGGCGCCCTGAGGGGCGGAGACTGCAGACCCCGGACCTGGTGCTGCCACAGGCATTGGTGGGGGAGGGGCAGGGTCCTGCTGAGCTCCCACACGGCTGCCGTCGCACGGACAGACAGATGGCCCACACGGACCGCCGGCCCACGCATGTGCATTCCCTCTGCCACGCGCACGCTGGTGAAGCGAGCTCCCCACAGCTGCACCGCCTTCCCTGACACTTCAGACAGGGCCTCTGTCCAAGGCACAGCCTCCCAAGCCAGCCCGCCCGGGGTCACATCCAGCTGCCTGACGCCTGGGTGACGACCTTGGACGGGCTTCTCAGCCTCCCTGTGGCGCTTCCTCACCTGCGCCCCAGTGAGGTCAGCGTGGAAAAGAGCAGAGCTCTGGCCCACAGGCCCGTGTGCCGGGCATTCGTCATTGTCACCACTCCTGGCTGTGCACGGCCCCTCACTGGGAAGCTGTGCCGTCTGGGGTCACCAGTAACGGCCCTGTTTCTACACCCACTTCAGTCTGGCTCCACGTCACTTAACACTGCGGACTGTGGCCTCTTCCTTTTGCCGAAGGAGCCCAGGGGTGCGGGTGACGGACAGCACCGGGCCGAGACGGGGGCCCAGGAGGTGTTGCCCGTGCTCTGCCGCAGCAGCACGGGCCGGTCCTAAGGCCTGAGGTGTGGGGGTGCCAAGGCCATGCCTGCGCCGAGATGGACCCTCCTGGAGTGAACTGTGCACCCCATAAACTCTCCGCACCTGCCGATAACAGCCCCGGGAGTGGCTTTCATAACAGGCTGGCATTTCTGGGAAATGGGAGGGCAGCCAGGTAGGTTGGCTGAGGGGCGGCAGGGTGGGGGGGTGAGAGGAAGTGGGCGGGGGGAGGAAGAGAGGGAGCCAGTTCCCTCTGGACTTGTGTCACCCCGAGGTTTAGCTTCCGGGCTATCTTTCATGAATAATTTACACTTTTAAATCCTCGGCAGTTCAGCTCTGGGAGTCTCATGGAAGCCGCCCTGGGCTCCCACACTCTTCCCCAGGTGCTGCGGGACCTGGGTGCTCCTCCCCCTGCTCACCGCACAACTCCCCTCGGCTCTTTCTGCGGCTCCCCAGCCTCCCGTCCACAGACCCCCAGCCACACGCTTGCGCCCGTCCACTTCCTCTGCTGCCCCCTAACATCCCAGTGCCCCACACCACTGTCCTGCTGGCCTGGCCGCTGTCTCTCCCGAGCAGCAGCCCCTCCGGAGCTCGATTGGCCCAGAGCCTCCAGGGGTCCCGAGTCCTGCTTGCTGCCTCCTCCTCCGCATCCTCTCGGCCCGATCTTCCGGGAGGGGACCTTGGCACGGGGCCTTGGCCAGTGAGAGGGGCGAGGGCGTGTCACCCGGGAAGCCTGTGCTCCTGGGGGTGGTTGGTGGAGTGGACACAGGCTTTTGCTCTTGGCCCCCCCCTCGTCCTGGGAGGACGAGGACACAGGGCCTGGAGGTCTAGGAGGCTGTGCGTGTGAAGGTGGAAACTGCTTCCCAAGGCCAGGGGACCGAAGGAGCCTGGCCCGAGGACGGCGCCTGGGCCCCAGGCCAGCTGGGAGCGCCTCCAGCACCCTGGTTAGGAAGACCTGGAAGCCAGGGTGTCTGTCCCAGGCAGTGCTCAGTGACGCCCCTCCCTGAGGCCAGGCCTGCCCTCGGGTCCTGGGGAAGGCCCTGCCCCCACAGATGGGGGTTGTGGGGCTCCCACATGTGCAGGTCAAACTTTGTTGTCTCGTAAAAGAAGACAAAGAGAAGAGCTTGAGGCTGTATGCTAAGTTAGTCACAAAAGGACAGACCCTGCGTGACCCACTCACAGCAGGGCCCTGGAGGAGTCAGACTCACGGAATCAAAGCAGACCCTGGCGTGGGGGCTGGGGAAGGCCGGGAGCGAGTGTTTGGTGGGGACGGGCTGTCAGTGGGGGAGATGGAAAGTTCTGGAGACGACGACGTGACCACTGCACGGCGGTGAGTGTTTACGACGCTGCGCGGTGTGTGCACTTAGAAATGGCTGAAATGGTACATTCTGAGTTATGCATATGTAGCTCCATTTACAAACATAAGAGAGGAGAGTCACTGAGTCCATAATCTGATTAATGATTAGCTCAGGTATTCCCTGCAGACAGGCTGCAAACCCAGGAAGGGCCCCTAGCAGGAGTCAATGATAGCAACGCTCTCTCCCACCCCAGGCGACTGGGCCCATAAAGTTTTACCAGGCTTATCACGCACTAACGCTGGTCACCCAGGGTGACCTGGGCCTGCTGGGGGCCTGCATCATGGCCGCCTCCCCCCCAGATCTGGGCTGGTCTGGACCCTGTGGCCCCTGTCCCCCCCATGAGGCTTCAGGAATTGTCACCTCGATGGCAGCTGGCAGGCTCCTCTCGCCAGCCAGCCGTCCGACCGTAACCAGGAATGCAGGTGCGGCTCCTGCCGCAGGAAGCGCAGAACTCAGGAGGCGGGTGCTGGTGCAGAAGGAAGGGTGTTTACTCAGGCGCCACCACCTGGGAGACCGGTGGACCCGTCTTGAAGACCGTCGCCCCTTCCCTCTCAAGTCCGAGGTTCTCACAGGGATAGGAAGAGGTGGGCTCTTTTTTCTATCCAGTTATCTTGATAGCTTTGGCAGGGCTGGGGCCCCGTCCGTTTATCTTTCTAGCGTCTGACGTGCTCAGTGTAAGAACCCCTCCCCCCAGCACCATCTTGGCTGACGGGGGTGGGTGGGGGGGACTCCCTGGTGCTCCCTGACCGGCTTCGATAACCAGAGCACCTGCCTAAGACGGCCTCCCCCCACCGCCTGGCTCTTGTCCCCAGAGGTGGCAAAGCCTGAGGGTCCAGGTTGACCTGCGGTCTGACTCCTAGGTCTGGCACTCATCAGCCACTTTGTGACCCTAGCCAAGCTCTTGACCTCCCTGGGCCCCTGTTTCTGCGTCTGCAGACGGCCAGTGCCTGGCTCCTGGTGCTTAAAGGGCGGCGATGTGGGAAAATGGCTTGAAGCCTTGGAAACACCTCCTGGGTCCTCTGGGGTCCGCATCTAACACACAGGAATTAACGTAGACCCAAGGCCTACATTCAAGAACTAAAACCATAAAACTTGTAGGGGAAAAGCATGAGGGAAAATCCCTGTGACCTTGAATCTGGCCATGGACTCTCAGTCATGGCACTCATGGAACGAGCAACAAAAGGGAAAAATAAACTTGGGTTTATCAAATCAAAAGTTTTTGTGCATCAGAGGACACAATACAGAGAGTAAAAAGAAAGCAGAATGGGAAAAAGTGTCTGCGAATCCCGAATCTGGTAAGGGATTAATACCCAGGATACACGAGGTCCGTGCAGGAGAAGCCCACACACTGCCAGTAAAATGAGATCGGTCTGTGCACGTCGACGGGCCGGGCAGCCCAGGCGAGTGGACTGGAGTGCGTCTGCATGAACCGTGACTTCCCCGCACTGGTCAGCGGGGGCGGCAGACACTGCTGAGTGACCGTCACACTGAAAACGACGGAGTGAGCAGAGCAACGGATCCG